GAATTATGAAGCATCTGATGAAAAAGAAACCAAAACAACAAAATAAATCCAAAACTGACCTACAAAAAAAGAAGACTCTGAAGCAACAAACTGAAACAACCTACAAAAGAAAAGAATCTGAACCCAACTTACAAAAAAAAAAAGAAAATTTGAACCGACCTAAAAAAAGAAAAGAATCCTAAACAATCCTACAAAAGGACTCCCAAACTGATCTACAAAAAAGAAAAAAGAAACTGAATCTTCTCACAAAAAAAAATCTGCTGGCCTATGAAATAAAAAAAGGGATATATATAAATAAAAAAGAAAGGGGAATAAAGAATAAATCAAAAAAAAATATTTTTTTAAAAAGAGGGTAACGAAGTTAGGAAAGTTAAAAAAAATTTTTTTTTTAAAGGGAGGACGTCAAAGTTAGAAAAATAAAAAATTTTTTATAAAGAGGAAATAGAAATAGAAAGAAGAAAATTTTTTTTAAAAAAAAAGAAGAGTGGGAATAGTGGGAATAAAAGAATAAAATCAAAAAAAAATTTTTTTTTTTAAGGGGGGTGACGAAAAAAGAAGAAAAATTTAGAAAAAATAACAAAAATAAGACAAGAGAAAAGAGAAGGAAGGGAAAGACAGAAAGGAAGATCGGAAGATCAAACTTCATCAAAGTAAGGGTTTATATAAAAAACAAAAAACGTATCATAACAATAAACAATCACGTGATCTCGTGTTATGATACGAGATTTTTGTAAAAATTATTTTCTAAAAATATTAAGTTTAAAAATTCCGTATACATTCCGTATGATTAATTTTTTCTGTATACATTTCGTATACATTAGTTTTTTTAAAAAATGTTCAAAAATGAATTGCTTATTAAATATACGGAATTTGTATACGGAATCTATAGAAACGTACATAAAATGTATACAAAACGTATCCTTTCCGTATACATATTTCTTATAGGGCTGAAGTTATTAATGGAAAAGAATATACTTTTAAATCTATAGTATTGCAATGCTTATATGGGAAATTTCAACCAGGTGACTGCCAAAACTAATGTCAAAGTGCGTGTGATGTAAGTATAACAATTTTTCTACTCTGCTTGCTTGCTACAGGTTGATCATAGGTATAACTAACTTACTTCGCTACTCTAGATAAATATACTGTAGATATGAAAAAGAAAAAGCGAAAGGCTGATAACGCATTTGATCTTAATTACGAATACTATATGGTATAGCAGTGCTAGAACTGACTGGTACTTCATTCTTCACAGTAATGAGTGCATCTATAGCATGAGCAAGACTGAAGATCAAATTTCATTGACAGAAGACGCTTTCAAGGATTCAACCGAGTTACACAAGAGTGTAAAGAGGATTTAGAGGTTATGGTTGTTAATGGATAGGGTATCAGCTGGTGAAGAACCAGTGACTAAGAAGCGTCATGTGGAAGAAAAAATAGGTGATTGTAGTATCCCAATAGAATTCCTCTATCCTTTATTTATTATCTATTAATTTATTATCTACTTACTGTACATACAATTATCAAATTTATACCTTTAAAATGCATGTTTTAAAATTTTATATAAATAAATTAATCGAATATTTTATCCTATGATAATAAAAATAGTCATGGAATAGTTAAATAATTATAAATTGAAAATTTAGGACAAACTGGTTAAAACAAGGTGATTAACTTGTTTTATAAATGACTGGGAAATCTTTAATTTTAGTTTAATTTACACATGATGATAATTATCTTTTTAATGAATTTCGTCAAAATCGAAAGAAAACAAGAAAAAATTCAATCAAGAAAGTAGTGCTTCGATCTATAGCGGTTTTATCCGGATTTTCATCCGGATTGAATATCATTAAATTTCGCTGGCACTATGAGTTTGGCCAGAATTAGTATAAATTTTTGGGATAATAATACTTTAATGTTGGTTTAAATTATAGTCTGTTTAAATCTGAAATTCATAATCTTTCTCAGCCATAATCGTCATATGAAAATATTCAAGTTTTCATCCGGATCGAAGCACTACAAGAAAGGTTAAATTTGATGTTTTTGATTTCAATTTATTTTATTTTTTTTTCTTGTTCTTTTTGGGTAAAATGTTAAGGGATTTAGAATGCAATTAATCGACATGGTTTTACATTTTTATTATAATTGTCAAGTTTCGTTCTGGCTAGTTGAAATAATGTAATACAATCGTTAAGCCGATTTTTTAAAGAATAACAACATTTGGCGTAATTTATTTAATTTAAATAACGTGATTAAATTAAAGTATTAAAAAAAGAGAATGATTTCTAAAAAGTAAAAAATAATAAAACAATTGGTTCATTTGTTAAACCAAACGTTTGTTGAACATACTGAGAAGTAAGAACTTTTTGATAAAAGTTATATTTGACTCCAAGGAATTTTTATAATTCATAAACTTATTTTTTTATAGAAACAACCAATTTTAAAAAAATATATGTATTTTTAAGACTATTTTGACAATTTATTTATTTTAATCATAAAAGAGATCTGAAAAAAAGTAAAAGCACGGACGATAAAAATACAAGTTAAATACTCGGAGTAACTGAATTTTAATAAATGGTACGTAACATATAATGAGATAAGATAATAAGTGGGAATCTCTTTGATGGGAATTTTCTTTACTTACCATTTCAATTTTTTTTAGAAATTTTCATTTTTGTTTAAGAGTACGAGTTGATATTCATATTTTATAGACATTGATACACTTCCCTAATATGTTTAAAAAACCTCAATAAGGAAATAATCTCAAGTTTAGACATTTATAAAGCTTATTAAATTTATGAAAATTCCTATAAAAAAAATTCTAGAATTCTAATAATTTTTAGTTACAGTTGATTAAACCCGATTGAATTGTTTGAAGGGTTATTCTTGTTATCTTAAGCGTATTCTTTTTTTTTTTTTTTTTTTTGAATCTAAATCAATGATCGGATTGATGTTGCAGAGTTATGGTAAACACTTTTTTTTCAATCCTTGTTTTCAATAATAATTTTAAGAGATATTACATGGTAAAAAAAAAAAATACATTTGAAATTTGATGAAAACTGAAACCAGCATCATCAAATCTCAACTATTAGATCGTATCAAGATAATGAAATCACGTGAACAGAAAGTTGACGATCGAAATCGTTCTAAAAAAAGCTTTTTCAATTTTTCCTATAAGCAATATCGCTTTTATTTTGGTATTCATATCCCTTGTGAATATGTAGATAAGCCCGCATTCAATAATGATTTATCATTTTCCTGTTCAGTTCCAAGTCCTATTGTTTTGTCTAATCATAGGCACGCCTGCGGCGTCCACTTTTCCAAAAAATACCAAATCATTGTATTGAAAAACTCAACTCAAACTCCTAACATAAGGTTGGACATGCTAATCTGCTATTTGATAGATGGACATCAAAAGAAAAGAAAACTATTTTCTCCAAACGTACGGGTATTTCTTATAAATCCCGTTATACATGTATGCCAAAACATTGGATAATTTCCGATTCGTACCTAGTACCAAAGCTAGTACAGCTCGAAAACAAAGAGAACGCTTTAACCGTTCACTCCGACGTGTCTTTGGGTTGATTATTCCTAAAAATAATGGTGAACTCAACTACAAAGAACTTATTTCTATAGGACGCAAATATGGCTTCTTTTCCTCGAATCGCAATATGTCAACAAACGCATCAGTCATTTGAAGCACACCCGAACTCGTATCACTCCGATTGCTAACCAGTTCCAATTTTCCATCCCTCACGCTTCTGAGACAGTTCCAGTGGTTGCAGATGTAAAAGCAGACGAGATTATTGAAACATTAGCCGAACCGCTTTACCCTATAATCTGATACCGGACATGTTTATTCCTCACAAATACCGGAACATTATTCCAAAAGATCCCATTTATGATGAAAAAAGTTCTTTTATCGTCCCAGGTTCTTGGGAATGGTTCACCTTTATGTACAAGATGGAGATACAAATGGCTATTAAAGTCGCAGAAGAACGTCATTTAAGACTTATACAAGAAGAACAGATCGCACGTGAAGAGCATAAGGCTAGGGCCCAGAAATTAGCGCGTGATGAAGCTGGTTATTATGGCACGACTCCGCATTATCTCGACAAAAGACGTAAACTTACGGATGATTCGACAACTTTGAATAAGATTTATCACGACTCTATGTCTAGGTATCGCAAAAGACTCTTGTATAATCAAGATAGTTTGACAAAAGAACATCGGAAACTTAAAGCAGAAATGAAAGAATTCTTTCTTTGATTTCCTCAAGATACAGGTATTTTACCGGCGCGTCGTTATGCACACAAAGATCGTACGACAGATGAGAATTCTGCTTCTACTTCAGAGGATACTAAAGACCTCGAATGTCGGCCCCTTAAACGTGACGTAATTTGGTAGTACGTAAACGGGCACGCCATGATTCTATATCAGACGTTAACTCCACGGTGGCGGGTTCGTCTTACTAGTACTAATTTAGTTTCATTTTTTTAGATAATTATATCTTTTGATTTTGTTAGTCTTATTTTTTGTTTTCTTTTTTTTTTAGTTATTTTATAATAACGATTTTGGAATTTTATATTTTTTTTTTAAAAAAAAATATAACTTTTATATAGTTTATCTATTTCTATTTTTTCGTGTTAGGTTTATATAATAACAATTAGAATAGTGTGAACCATTCCATCTATGACAGTATTTACAGATGGCGACTATTAGTCGAAAGAATATACGGGTCTTTTTTTTAATTAGATTGGAAGTTTTCCTGTTTGGGGTCGATTTTTCCCTAGACAGTTTTTATATATAATACTAGTTAGGACCTGTCTTAACGATCTTTGGCTCGTTACTTCTAGGTGAAGTTCTATACTGTATCTCATTTTTTACTTTCAGTTGTTACCTTTTGATCTTCAATGTAGTCCTCCTAGCCATAAAATAAATAAATAAATAAAAGAACTGATTCTTTTTTTATTTTTCTTGTTCATTTCATATGAACTCTCGAGCTGTTTTATCTATTACAATAAATATGAAAGGCAACAACAATGTGATGAATTTCAACAACATACTTATTTTATATGCAACATAAAAAAATTTGTTACTATCTTGGAATTTTGTGGATTTTGGATTTGGACAAAGTGATGGAATCTATTCCATTGAAATCAAGGTAGTATTTTTTCAAGACTATGATAGGAGGCAAATTATAAATTTATTAATAATCACATGTTTAATAATGATCGACATAAATTTTTTTTTTGCTGCGATTTTCTGAAAACTGATTGGTTAAATGATAATTCCTTTGTTATCTATAAATGGAATAGGTACTGTATATCACTTGATCACCACATATGTTAAAGAAAAATAACTCCAAAAAAATAAAATAAAGTACTCCCTTTTTTCTTTCTTTCGTTTTCTTCGTTTGCAATATCATGGCATGCTCAAAAGTATTGTTAGGAAATTGTCCCGAATTAACAGATGATATTATTCAATATTTTCGGGATGATATTCCAACATTAAATTCATGTATTTTGGTTAATAAATTTTGGTGTCAAATTGCGATTCCATTATTATGGAAAGATCCGTTTTCAATGAATAATCCTAAAAATTTTCACTTTATTGAAATTTATTTACAAAAAATAAATGAAAAAGACAAAACACAATTAAATAGATGTGGAATTAATAATAATGTATTTCCTTCAAAAACATTATTTAATTATTCCAATTTTATTAAATGTATAAATACACGAAACATATGTTCCAATATTGTAAATTGGATTGAAACTAACAAAACGTTTACCTTGTCTCTTATACACATCTAGATGTGTATAAGAGACAGGTGTAATACAATACAGAGCATTAGAATTTATTAATAATTATTGTAAGAGAATTAAATTTTTTGATATTTATACATATAATATTCAGAAAGCTCAAATTGTATTAGATTCAGTCAAAATTTTCGGACAAAACCTTAATTATTTTTCCATATATGTTTCTCTTTCTCATAATGAAACAAATGAATCTATAATGGAAATGTTTTCAAGATTAGTACATGTTCTTCCTTGTAAGTTGGAATATTTGAATTTACATTTTAATTATCAGATTAGAAAAAATGTTTGGGAAGTATTTTTAAAAAATTTAAAACATATTTTTATTAAGAAATTATTATTCAAAATTAATAATTTATTTGATGATATTTTACCATATATAAAGGAATATATTATGAAAGAACAAAGGACTGAATATTTAGCTATTGAAGGACGTATAGAAACCCAAAGTAAATACTACTATAGTATAGATTGGGATAAAAAAGAGTTGTTACTATGACAGATGAATTGAAGGAATTTGAATCATATAACATTAAAGTTAAAGAATATAATAATTTATATATTAAAGCCTATGATAAATTTATAGATGAGATGTATTAGGGATATGTATAATGTACTAAATCATAATTTATATTTACTGTATATCTATTAAGAGAATTATTATATGTTATTCATTTTGTATTCAATTTTATATTAAATTAAAAAACAGAATAAAATAAATATTATTTGATTTAAAAAAATACACTATTTTTATGTGATAAATTCTTCATACTTATAAAATTATCCAAATTTCAAACACTGGTAACAACTAGAAATTTGAAAAAAGAATGAATATCATAATTAAATGAACACAAAAAAAGAAATGTGAAATTGTAAAAGTGTATGATATAATTATTTATAAAAGAATAAATTACCAACAGATATTCTGATAGAGTGATGCTAGAAAAACTGACACTTTATATTTCCTTTTTTTGGCCATTGTATAAAGCTCTAAATGGTTCAGATTGGTCCAGGTTGAAGAGTAATCTAGGACCAGATTAAAAAATTACTTCATTTCAATCTGATCTGGATTATGTTAAAAGATAATTCAGGACCAGACCAGACTGAACCAGTTATTTAATTTGGCCCAGCCTAGTTCTATAATAATAAAAAATGTTGTGAAAATATTTTTAATTATAATTACTTTGAAAAATGTTTTACAACATTTTTTTGTTAAATTAATTAAAATAATATTGCAAAAGCATTTTTTAATTAAATTACTTTGAAAAAATATTTCACAACATTTTTTTAATTAAAATTACTTTGAAAAAACGTTTTGCAATATTTTTTCATTAAATTAATTATAGAAATGTTGCAAAAACATTTTTTTTATAATAATATATTAAAAAAAAACATTTTGCAACATTTTTTTATTTAATAATTAAACAATTACAATGCTTTTATTATAAAACTATTGCGAAAACAATTATTTGGTCCAATCCAGTCCTAACCTGTTTAATTCAATCCAGGTTAGATTTATAATCCAGGACTGGACCAGACCAGACCGAATATTTCAGTCTGGGTTGAAGCATCAACCCAGACTGGACCAATCCTAATTTTTGGTCCAGATTGCCAGATAAGGACTGGACTGATTAGCGCTTTACCATTGTAGTGCCATGAAATAATTGAAATATTGCAATGTTAATTATAAAATGTAATACGTTTTTATGATAGGTAAATCAGTAAATTAAAATCTTAATGTCACGTGATCATTTTGTCACATGACTGACATGAGTATAAACTAGGTATACTAATGAAGTTTTCAATATTAACTATATAAACTATAACTTTGGTTCATTTTGAGAATTAAAAATAAAAAATATATGATTCTTTTTTTATTTTTTCTTATTCATTTCATATGAACTCTCAAGCTGTTTTATCCATTACAATACAGTGTTCAGAAATGACCTGGTCATTTGACCATTTAAATGATTTATGAAATCATTTGTCATTATTTATAATCATTTGTCATTTGATCATTTTTGATTTTGATTGGCTAATACTATTTATCACATAAATAATCATGTGACTATAATTAAAAAATAATGAATGTAGTGTAGGCAAAAATCATAATGCTGGCCAAAATTACATTCAAATGACCAAGATCATTTGTCATTTGAGCATTGAAATGACATGTCATTTGTCATTTATCATTTGAATCATTTGGTCATTTCAAGTCATTTGCCGAACACTGTTACAATATATGTGTGTGGAGAATTGCTTCCATATGCAACATATAAAAATTTGTTACTACCTTGGGATTTTGTGGATTTTGGATTTGGACAAAGTGATGGAATCTATTCCATTGAAATCAAGGTAGTATCTTTTCAAGACTATGATAGATAGGAGGCAGAAGTAATAAACAAATTATAATTAATATAACTAAATCACGTGTTTAATAATGATCGACATAAAATTTTTTGCTGCGATTTTCTGAAAACTGATTGGTTAAATGATAATCCTTTGTTATCTATAAATGGAATAGGTATATAACTTGATCACCATATATATCAAGAAAATAACTGAGAAATAATAAAAGTACTCCCTTTTTTTCTTTTTTCGTTTGCAATATCATGGCATGCTCAAAAGTATTGTTAGGAAATTGTCCCGAATTAACAGATGATATTATTCAATATTTTCGGGATGATATTCCAACATTACATTCATGTATTTTAGTTAATAAATTTTGGTGTCAAATTGCGATTCCATTATTATGGAAAGATCCGTTTTCAATGAAAAATCCTAAAAATTTTCACTTTATTGAAATTTATTTACAAAAAATAAATGAAAAAGACAAAACACAATTAAATAGATGTGGAATTAATAATAATGTATTTCCTTCAAAAACATTATTTAATTATTCCAATTTTATTAAATGTATAAATACACGAAACATATGTTCCAATATCGTAAATTGGATTGAAACTAACAAAACGTTTACCTGTTCAAAAGGACGTATTTTTTTATTATTAATTAAAGTATTTATAGAAAATGAAGCTAAATTACATACTTTTGAAATTGAAATTGCATTTAATTACCTTATGAGCAGAAATTTTTTTGATTCTATTTTTAAATTAATCTTACAAAATCCAAAATTCATTAGTAATATAAAAAATTTAAAACTTTATTTTAAAGAAGAAATTGTAATATATAAATTAGATTATGAATTTTTGAAATGTTTTTATTATCATTGCAATTTAATTTCATCACTTCATATTAGATTTTTTGAATATGAAAGTTTTATACATAACCACATGACAATTGAAAACCAATTATCACAAATTATTAATTCACAAAAAAATCTTAAAAAAATTATTTTTGCAAATGATAGAAAATATTCAAGCCCTCGTTATCCTGGTATACCATTATATAATATCATAGGTAATTCTAATAGTTCAAAATCTTTAAAGATGATTATATTTTATGGAATTGATTTTAGGAATATATTACATATAAAAGAGGCATTTAATCAATTAAATGGTTTAGAATTTATTCATATAATTGAGTGTTCTATTTTTAATTCTAATTTTATTCAACAAATCATTGATCTTAATAATGAACCATTTAAATTAATATCTTTATTTATAAAGAATGAGTTTTATAGTAATGAAAGTAGAAATTTACAAATTGAATTAATGCAATTATTATTTCAAAAATTTGGTGAATATTTAGAAAATATTAGATTTACCCCAAATGTAAATGATGTAATACAATGCAGAGCATTAGAATTTATTAATAATTATTGTAAGAGAATTAAATTTTTTGATATATATACATATAATATTCAGAAAGCTCATATTGTATTAGATTCAGTCAAAATTTTCGGACAAAACCTTAATTATTTTTCCATATATGTTTCTATTTGTCATAATGAAACAAATGAATCTATAATAGAAATGTTTTTAAGATTAGTACATGTTCTTCCTTGTAAGTTAGAATATTTGAATTTACATTTTAATACTCTGATTAGAAAAAATATTTGGGAAGAATTTTTAAAAAATTTAAAACATATTTTTATTAAGAAATTATTAATCAAAAGTAATGATTTATTTGATAATATCTTACCATATATAAAGGAATATATTATGAAAGATAAAAGAGTTAAATATTTAGCTATTAAAGGATGTATAGCAAACCAAACAAATAAAATTAGTACACATTTGGATAAAAAAGAGTTGTTTACTATGACAGATGAATTGAAGGAATTTGAATCATATAACATTAAAGTTAAAGAATATAATAATTTATATATTAAAGCCTATGATAAATTTATAGATGAGATGTATTAGGAATATGTATGATGTATATATAATCATAATTTATATTTACTGTGTATCTATTAAGAGAATTATTATATATTATTCATTCTGCATGCAATTTTTATATTAAATTAAAAAACAATTTTAAAAAAGTACACTATTTTTATGTAGTTAACTCTCTGTGCATATAAAATAATCTAAATTTCTAACACTGGTGACAACTAAAAATTTGAAAAAAAGAATGAATATCATAATTAAATGAACACAAAAAAAGAAATGTGAAATTGTAAAAGCGTACGATATAATTATTTATAGAAGAATAAATTATGAACAGATATCCTGATAGAATGATCTTTATCTAATAAAATCATCAGGCTTGTCCTATTATCTAGATAAAAAAGTCTTTTTTTTCTTAAATGTTTAAAATTATTATTAAATATCAAAAAAATAATAAATAATGATTTTAATATATTACAGTTTTACAGATATTAATAAATTATGATGAAATGATGAATGAATTAATTGATGATTTAAAAATTACGCTACTATATATTAAATATTATTGAGATTGGATTAATGGTCATTTTAATTCTAGGATATTCTAAACTATTCAAAAACTAGTTTAGTATATTGGTATAAAATTGTAAAATTTAAATTGAACTTAGATATGTTAATATTTAGTTTATTTCACTAATAAAAAATAAAATAAGAAGCAACAAAATATAGGAAATATTTCATAAAATATGAGCAAGAAAAGAGATGCTTGTTGCATTTATACTATTCATGAAAACTATTCAAGATGCCATTTTTCTTTTGGACTTGAAATATTCTAATATTGTATATTGTATCTCAATCTTTTTTGAAAATAAAAATAAAACTGGAATATGTTAACATAAAAAATTTGGTGATATTTAAGTTATACTGTATAACATATAGGCGATATAGCACGTCTCCATCAAATTAATTAATGAACTTGTTAAAATTAGGACTCATATAGTAGTCATATCATTTTTATACTCTTATTATTATTAAGCCATTGATCCTGGTACGAAGCAACAAGTGGTTGCTAGTAAATTGCTACCCCGATAGTATATATAACATCTTAAATGGACGTTTAAACTCGCTTTCATAAATCATGTAAAACGAATCACACTTAACACGAATTATAAAACCTTTATTAGTTTATTTGATAAAAGACTGCATTCCTCTAAGCAAAATATTTAAGAAGGTTCCACCACCAGTTCCTTCTAAGCCTAATAAAAAAGCCGCATACTTTTAATCTTTATTATCTTCAGCTTTCAATTATAATGATCGATATCTTAAATATATATATACTATATATATCATAATTTTGAATCAAATTATAAAAAGATGTGATTGGTAGATAGTGACAATATGGAACTTCCTTTTTTGAGATCCACAGGAAAAGTTCATAGAGAAATTGGTAACAAGACAGAAGTAAAATATTAGTATAGAAGAGATAACCATAACAAAAAAATATCGGAGAGATTGATCAAAATAATCGTAACCAAATTTTGTAGTAATCATTTATGATACAATGATAAATTCATAATAGTTATTTTTTTTATTAACATAATGATAGTGATAATGAAATATATTAATAATTTTCGTAATTTCTGGTATTTACCTTAAATATTTTATGTTATTATTTTTACACATTGACTTAAGTTGTGGAAATTCATTATTTTCCGGATTATACCAACTTGTGAAATTTGCTGAAAACGATTTTTATCGATAGTTCTTCTCAACCGAAATTATTGTAAATTCCGGCGAATAGATTAAAGTGTCGATATTCGATAGTGTTTGGATCCGGATAGAAACCGTCATCCGGATAAAATAAAAAAATTATCCAGTTTTTATCCGGGTTATCCGTTTCGAATAAAAATCCAGATATATCTGGATAAAAACCAAAATCCGGATAAATTTATATAAAAATTTTTTTTGTAGATCGGTTTTAACAGATAATTTTGTGGAACCTAATAAATAAATTTCGTGGTACTTATTTGTGGCTTTTAATTAAATTCGTGGCAATAATTTAATTAATCATAAAAACAATAGCATTTATTAGTTAAAATCGTGGCATTTATTTAATTAAAATCATGGCATTATTTGATTAAATTGAT